TCATTCAAAATCTTAGGTTAAGTTTTAAGCTTTTAAAAGTTAATTTTGAAAATTGAGACACAATACTAATACTGTAGGAATTGGTGAGGCCTTGACTTAAACCTTTCTTTGTACTGTGATTTCCTTTTGGGTGTATTTTGCTAAGTGAAACTTGTTAACTAAATTTTTTTCTTAAAATAAAGATTTTTTTCACAATGAAAAAAAATTAAAAAAAAATAAAGGGGGGAAGCAGGTTGAGAGACCTTCATAGTCTCCTTAGACAGTGGGGAGGTAATGATGCTGAGATACCTCATCCTAATAGGTAACCCATGGATTAGGAATAAATCCAGTCCCTTAATCTGTCTTTAAATTGAATTTGTATGATAACAAAAGGTCATTGTGAAGTAGACTGGAGGGGGGAGAAATGAAGCGGAGGGAGAGGGAGGAAAATATGCAACAATGAATGAAAACTTTTCTATAAACCTTTGTTCAAATCACAATTAAAAAAAATCATTTGTACTTAAATTGGAACAGATAGGTATGCTTCCTATCTAAAGTCAGTTTGTTGCTGACTTTACTAATAACAATTAATGATGTTGTTGTTGCTGTTATGTGCCATCTAGTCACCTGTTACCCATAGTCACCCTATGTACAGCAGCTCCAAACCCTGGCCTGTCCTGAGCCAGTCTCACTAATTCCAACATACCAACCCCCATTGACTCAATCACTGTATCAATCCATCTCATCCAGGATCTTCCTCTCCTGCACTGGCCATGCACCCTTCATAAAAATTACTGAGGAAGGTCTTCCACATATGACCAAACATGCTAAGGAAGAAATGGAATGCATGAACATTGATATACTAGGCATTGGTGAGCTGAGATGATTTGGCATGGGACATTTTGAATCAGATAATCTTTAATATTGTCAGGCCCAGACCAAGGTCAAAGGGAGAAGGAAGGATTTAAAGAATATCACTATATCAACAAAGGGAGTGACTAGCCTTGCCCACCTAATTAAACTACCATGGAGTGCCCCCCCATTCCCTCCCTAGAAGACCACCCACCTGGCTAAACCACAATGGAATATCCCTCCTTTCCCTCCCTAAAGACCCTCACTATAAAACCTGCCCTAATCCACCTCCTAATCCAGCCAGAAGTCCAGGCTGGGTTTAGAAGGGATCATGGTACTAGGGATA